TTATCATATTTGCTTTATTTTTTACTTATTACATCTGAACTGAGGAAGTGTGGATAATTTTTAAATATGACATATTATTTGAACATGCTAACTCTCTTTTTCTTTGTTTTCCATGCAAAACCTCTATAACGGATAATGGACACAGCCAATATCCTTAAACCTCAAACCAGGATGTGGAACTATCCCAAGGCCTCCTACATCACCCCAAAACCATCAGTACAGAGTGCCAAGACAAGCCAGCTCCACATCCAGATTCCCTGCTGACAGCAGAAAGAACTTTTACATTCCTCATAACAAAGAGACTCTATAATATTTGTTATTTAATATACTTCCAGTTTTTACTTAATACATTGTCCATCTAAGCCATAATTATTTTATTTTACACGTTTGGGCTCCAAACTTTTTCAGACGGAGGGGAAGTTATCATGATATAACATTTATACTAAGTTTTCCTATAATAATTAGATCCACATCAAGTGCTTTTATGAGTTATCATGGTGTATTATTTATATATCATTTCATATAATTATAGTTTAGCAAGTAATACTTATCATCAGGTAAAATGCATATATAAAATATCAGTAGTTTCAGTTATAGCTTTTTAGATAGATGCTAGCCTAAGGTAATGGGAGCGCATATCCTAGACATACTATTCAATAAGACAAGAGTTATGTCTACATAGTTTAATAGATTTGAAGCTTTTAGATAAATGCCAGCCTAAGGTATCAAGATCCCATCTCCCAGACAAAAGATATGTCTACATAGTCTTATAGATTGCCTTGAACTATTTTATTTAAGTAAATCTGTCATCACCTATATTAGAATAACATTCAGCAATTACTTCATTAAGGATTAGCCCCCATACAAGCTCATCTTTAGTGATACCATAATCTCTTTCCAAGCACCCAGTAAATATGTCAACAAGATTAGTGCCAGTCCAACAGGATTAAGTATTCACCTCCGTCTAGCCATTCATTTAGCATAGGGCACAACCCATCGTGTATAAACCAATCACATTCCTTTTTGACACTCATACCAAGCAGATCTCTCTCCCACAGCCCAGAGGGTTGTACCGACTCTCTGTGGCACCCTCAGCTATGTTCTAAGATATTGTAAATTGTTCATTGTTAATTGTTCTTGTAAATAAAATAGTGATTAGTCTCCTGTGACTCCGGCTCTTTGCTGACTAATTCCCCCCAAGGAAAACCAGCACGCCATTTGGATGGTTTTGTTCATCCGAACATACCATAATAGAAGCCTCACTCCAAGACTGGGGAAACATCTGGAGGGTCTGTGGTCCGCTGCTCAACAACACTTTGGTGACAAGTGGCGCTCCTTCAAGAGTTTCTGCAAGGGGAAACACCAGGGTCCTGCTGCTGCGTCACCCCAATTCTTGGCGGAAAATCTCCTGTTTATCCACCACAAGCATCATCTGAAGGGCAGTACCATCAGGGTGGGGCTTAACTCCATCTTGGCAGTTCCAGATGATTGAATGATGACCAAGGTCCCATAACTCCAGGCGCTCTTTTCGTCTGGAAGTCCAGAAGGCCAAGTTCAGAAGCCCAGCCCGGGATCCAAACATGGTTCTTACCCTGCTGAGAGGCGTGCTCTTTGAACCACTCTACTCAGCGTCATATTACAACCTCGCCAAAAAGATCATCTTCCTATTGGCTCTGGCAACAGCGGCATGAGTAAGTGAGCTACACACTCTAGACATCACCCTTGTCAGATTTGAGTGCAGAATGCATGGAGCTGTTTACCTTGGGCTGTGCTTGGACTTCATAGATCCTTCACCATCCCGCCCCTATCTTCGATAGTCAGGACTCCTACTATGTTCGGTATGGGCACTGCAATGTTTCATCTGAAGCTCCAAGAATCGTCTTGGAAAACATTGTCACCACTTCACATCTGAAGGTGTGCCCTCCTTCGTTCCGTCCGTCGCAGATGCGTTTAGGAGTAATGTAGGATCAGTTAAAAAATCTAGTAAAATTCTAGATATTTTTTATATTTGTATACTTATCCTGCATTAATTTGTCTGAAGAAGCTCTCCCTTTGCAGAACTGCCTTCCCTCGATGCCTTCAGATGCTCTGTTTTAGCAGTAATGTGCTGATCACAACTTGCAGGGTCACACGGGAGCTGTGTGATAGGGTTAGCCACACAACCAGTTGGAACAACTTCTCCGTCAGCAAGACCTCTCACAGCTCTTTCTCTGTCAATAACAAGCAGTAAATGCATTAAGGAATAATGCAGGATAAGTATACAAATATAAAAAATATCTAGGATTTTACTAGTTTTGTTAACAGTTGAGGGTCTTCCTTATCTTGGCATCATCTTCAAGGCTCACCTCTTAAGAGGACCCAGGAAGGAGCATCTCCACTAAGGTTGACACCATTTCCACATGGATGGCTGTTGGAGTTAGCCTTTCAGTTGGAGAAACTTGATGACAGTGCTGTTGCCACTTTTGTTAACAGAGAATACCTAGTCACTTTGATGCCTGCAGAAACATGCTGCCTGGTTGTGTTTTGGGTTCAAATGCAGCCTGTAAAGCATGTTCTTGATAAATGTTAACTCTTTAAAGATGATGCACGAGCTATTCAGCCACCAATAACATCCCAGTTGCCAGCGAGAAGTAATCACTTTCTGCTTGAAAACTGTCTTGCATTAGACATGTGTTTCCCAAATTGGAAGCGAAGTCACTGAACCTGGAAATACATTTAACTTGCTTATTAACGCTCTCAACATCGCAGGCAGGCACACCGGCAAGGACAACAGCAATCCCCAGATACCACAGGCTAGCAAACCAGCCGGGACAACAGCAGTCCCCAGACACCACAGGTGGGTACACCTGAAACAACAGCAGTCCCCAGACACCACAGGTGGGTACACCTGCCAGGACAACAGCAGTCCCCAGACACCACAGGCCAGCACACCAGCCAGGACAACAGCAGTCCCCAGACACCACAGGTGAATACACCTGCCAGGACAACAGCAGTCCCAGACACCACAGGCCAGCACACCGGCCAGGACAACAGCAGTCCCCAGACACCACAGGCCGGCACACCAGCCAGGACAACAGCAGTCCCCACACACCATAGACCGGCACACCGGCCAAGACAACTGCAGTCCCCAGACGCCACAGGCTGGCACACCGGCCAGGACAACAGCAGTCCCCAGACACCACAGGCCGGCACACCGGCCAGGACAACAGCAATCCCCAGATACCACAGGCTGGCACACCAGCCAGGACAACAGCAGTCCCCAGACACCACAGGCCAGCACACCGGCCAGGACAACAGCAGTCCCCAGACACCACAGGCCGGCACACCAGCCAGGACAACAGCAGTCCCCACACACCATAGACCGGCACACCGGCCAAGACAACTGCAGTCCCAAGACGCCACAGGCTGGCACACCGGCCAGGACAACAGCAGTCCCCAGACACCACAGGCCGGCACACCGGCCAGGACAACAGCAATCCCCAGACACCACAGGCCGGCACACCGGCCAGGACAACAGTCCCCAGACACAATAGGTGGGTACACCTGCCAAGACAACAGCAGTCCCCAGACACCACAGGCCGGCACACCGGCCAGGACAACAGCAGTCCCCACACAACACAGACCGGCACACCGGCCAGGACAACAGCAGTCCCTAGACACAACAGGCAGGCACACCAGCCAAGCCATAGCCATGTCAAAATAGTATATAATTTTATGAACCTGAATTATTATGAAAGTATTTCCCTGTATTTTGTCATGTTACTGAGCAGAAAGCCAATGTAATCATGAAACAGGTGATGCCAGCTAATATTTAAATTATTTTTAATATAGTTTTCCGTAAATAATGAAAACAAAAAAGAAATAGGTAAGTGGAAACCTTTACTAAATCTATCACTTTTCACAATATCTGATATATGTGTTTCATTTCAGTTAATCATATTTTATCGATACTAAGATTAATAATATATTCACTATTTCCTGCAATATTATTTAAAAAAATATTCTCAGACACATGCTTCGACAATAGGTTCATACTGAACATGTCAAAGAGCAAAATAAAGACATTTCAAGCAAGTTTTTAGATAAACTATACATGTATATAAATAATAAATAAAATCAACAAAAATATATTTAAAAGTTGTCAAACTTACATCTAAGTTATTATTGCGATCTTTTCCTCAAATTGTGTGAAATGTAAGTAAAATGATATCTTAGCCTTGATTTTTAGGGCTTGGACACAAAGTTAATGCCAAAATATATGCATGAGCGTGAGTATGTGAGTTGGGTTTAACGCCGCTTTTAACATTATTCCAGTTATATCTCGGCTTGTCAGCTTAATGTGTTCCCCTGCTGTCATGATTGATACATTTGAATCTCTGGAGCGGGAAATCCACACAGGACTACAGCCCGTAGTTAACTACATTTAGGACTTTTACATTGGTAGCCCACTTAGCCAAGGTAGACGACCTGCCAGATTTCCACTCAGCCTGGAGTGGAGTGTCAATGGCAAATAAAGCATGGTCACCTCTTGTCCAGTGTCCAGGGTAGTCACCAAACATTGGTGTAATCCAAAAGGAGCAGGCCCTCAGTGCAGCATTGGCTTTTGGTCATATGCCCTCCCAGAGGAAAAGTCTACAGAGACTCTGCCAAGGGATTTGCCTGTGTTCTAGGCAATTTTGTGGATATGTACTTTTTTACTTTGTAGAGAACAGTTGCTCATAACCTGTCATATTGAAGTATAAAACCATGTATCATTGACAAAGGATTAATTGTGATCATATTAAAGGATGAAGTATGTGTAAAAATTTTCCTTATCTTTGTTGTTCCTTTCTGTGTGTGTTGGGGGGGGGGGGGGATGAGCTGGCAGTTGTTGACTGGGGGTGTAGTGTTGAGAGAATAGGATGGGGGTAGTTGGTGACTACCCAAAACATGTTTTGACTTGAACGAAGAACACACATTAATAAATAAATTAAAGCTGCAGCTATTTGTTTTCATTCCAGGTTAATCATCAATAATAGTATCAACCATGGCTCACAGTTACCATATATTCGCCAAGCAATGACAGAGGGTTATGGTGTCATCGTTCTTAACACAAATCTGAACACTGTTGGTGATGGAGATGAGGAGATTGAGATAAAGGTAGGTCCGTAATACTTTTATCATTTGGAATGCTCAGTTCACCGCGGTTTCAACAAACATACAAATGTCAAACAGCAGACTTATTTGCTCATATTCATTTCAGACCGATGTAAATCAGGGGCTTAAACTACGTCAAATATCTTGATAACAGTTGGAAACCTAAGATTTATATACTCACATGCAAAAGAAACGCAAGTCGAGTATGCAGTATACATGTTGTTATTTTTTCAACAGCAAGATTGACAAAAATTTGACTGAAGACGGTTTAATGGATTAAAAGGCAGATGACATAATTGTTTTTTTCAAATGTTAAGAGTTTACACAGTTTCGGGTCAATACCCAAAATGTCAGTCAATACCTGGTGTGACCACCATTAGCATTGATCACGCCACACATCTCCTGTACATTGAGTGGATCAGACGATTTGTGAAGGCCCTAGGGATCCTCCTGCACACATCCAGAGCAGCTGTGCGTAGTTCATCGGCAGTTGTAGGGATTGGGCGCACAGTGTGCAGACGCCTTTAAACCTCATCCCACAAGTGTTCGATGGGGTTCAGATCAGGGCTGAGGGCTGGCCACGGTAGAACACGGATGTTGTGTTGTTGCAGAAAGACCATGGCAACATGGGGACGAGCGTTGTCCTGCTGAAAAATGGAACAACGTGGGGTCTGATCACTTGGTCGATATACCGCTGAGCAGTGACACCGTGTCCCCGACCTTGACCAACAATCAGAAAGCACATGGGTCCAAGTCTCGCATTAAGTCCAATCCCTGCCCATATCATGACGCTAGGTCCACCCCATGGATCCCTTTCCACAGCGTTTCTGTCAGCGAAACGATCACCTCGATGCCGCCAAATTCTGACTCGTCTGCATGGGAGACACAAGAAGAGAAGACGACACGCCTCCACTCACGGTGAAGCCAATTGTGATGGCCCACTGAAGTCGTGCTTGTCGATGCCATGGTCGGCGACATCTGAGGTTGTTGGAACGGAGACGTCGGATCACAGTGTCACAGTGACTCTTCCGTCTGCATGGGAGACACAAAAGCGACTTTCATCAGAGAAGATGACACGCCTCCACTCACGATGACGCCAATTGTGATGACCCTGTGCCCACTGAAGTCGTGCTTGTCGATGCCGTGGTTGGAGAACAGGACAACGTGCTGGTCGGCGACATCTGAGGTTGTTGGAACAGACGTCGGATCACAGTGTCCCGGCTAATGGGTCGATTATGTGTTCCTATGGTCTGTTGAGCACTTTCACTTGCAGTTAGGAACGGATGTCGCTGGTGTTGACAGGTGATCTGCCGATCTTGTCGAGATGTGGTGACCCTAGGACGACCGCTCCGAGGAAGGTCATCTGTGGTCTGTGTAGCATTGTATCGTTGCAGGAGACGGTAAATTGTGCTTATGTTAACGTTGAAATGACGGGCAACATCTTGGACAGACTCTCCAGCTTCCAAACGTACGATAGCCTGGTGACATTGTTGATCAAGGAGTGGTAGGTGTAAGAATCGACCACAGTCTTATACCCACTACAGTTCGTGACAGTTTGTGCATTTTCGATTTCGCGAGAAATGGGTGCATGATACACATATTCATTGAAATGAGGCGTTTTGGCGATTCGTTTTTTATGTTGTGTTTTTACTCGGGGCTTCCAAAATGCAACCAAAAATATTGATAACACCATCAGGCTTCACAGCATGCTAAAACTCGTATCAATTTATGGTTCCGTGTTTGTTACCTTTTTGCTTAAAACCACTTGCGTTTCTTTTGCATGTGAGTATATTATGAGATTAAGCAAAGGTTAACCCAGAAGTCGATATATACAGTTACCCAAACTAGAAGCGAAGTCACTGAACCCAGAAATACATGTAGCTTGGACTGTGTTTTATCAAATTGGGAGTGAAGTCACTGAGCCCGGAAATATGTGTAACTTTAAGGTATTCCCTGTATAATTGGACACTATCAGTGAAAACTACAACATATGCCGATGTTTCCGACATTGATAATGTTCAGGTGACATAATACTGAGTAAGAGTTATGACGTTTATTGTAAACAAACATGGCAAGTGACAGAGACAGGTGTGGCCGATTCAAGAAGAAAAAGTAAAATCAAACGTCTTTATTGATCATAACATAAAACAGGGAAATATCCATTGTTTCCATGTTTCCATCACATGCAGGTGCCATCAGCTGTCTTTATAAAGCGCTCAGTGCCACACTGTGATGGGGTCGGGGTTTAAAAAATGTATACATTGTATACAAAGGTGTTACAATAGTCTTATTTCTTCACACAGTGTAACCAACTTGTATAACATTCAACTAGAGTTGATTGTCTCTCCAAAAGTATCTCAATTCAGCAAATCCAAACGATACATGCACTGCCCAGCCATGGTGGAAGTAGCGGTATTCTAAGTTGTCTATGTTTCTACAATAATTGTAAAGTGGAAGCACCTGAATATGGCAAGTATAGTCAAGCAAGCACCCTTGTTTAAAATCTAGATGTCCAATATCATTGTAAAGTACATATCATTACAATGATATAGACATGTATGTCAAAGTATACAATCATTGAGAATTGTCCATGAGTTTAATTTACCGATAAAAAATCCTAATGAAATTGTCAGTGTTGTTGACATCAAAACAAAATTGATGGAAGTGGTCATGATTGGTTCATACACATTTTCAACAGACGTCCTCTTCAATGCCAATTACACACAATAATGATAGGATGGGATATCCCACCATCTCTTGGACTCTATGAGTCTTATTCACCAACTTTCCAGCAACAGATGGTGAAGAGCATGTTAGAGACAAAGCTCTCAGTGCTGGACGAAGAAATGGTAAATCAAGGAGATAGCTCTGGCAAAAAAGAATTCCCCGGTCAAGAGGCTGCAGAGGGGAATGCCATCTGTCTCTTCAAACACGGCCTTCAGTTGACCAGCAAGCTGAGCCGTTCGGCCAGCCAGCTGATCACCCAGAGCCATTCAAAGCCGGGGCCGCATGGTATCCATGGACCAGCCGTAAAGGGCAAAAAGCCAGCCAGCCAGCCCAACAGCCATTCGACCAGCCAGGTATAAGCCTGCAGGCTTTGCTCGACCGTGAAACAATACTGTACGGGAGTCACACGGTGTCCAAGGGCCAGCCGTCCACAGCAACAAAGCCAGCCAGCCAGCCAGCCAGCCAGCCAGCCGGCTACAAGTTATATTCAGGGAATGTCCTATCCTGAAGACACACGCCGTCGGACTTTGATTTCATCTAGTCAGAGCCAAGTTAGCGGCAGCAGATCCAGCCGTCAAAGCTACCAAAAAAGCGAGCCATTCGGAGACCAACAACACCAAGGGTTTTATTCTCTGGTTTTCTTAGTCCCCAAAAAAGAATACATCCGAGATGAGGATGATTATCGACCTAAAGACTCTCAACAAAAGATACCTGGTACCGCCACCAAAATTCCAGATGTAGTCCATACGGAAATTAAGGTCGAAGTTGAAGACCGGAGACTGGCTTATCAGCCTAGACCTACAAGATACCTATCTTCATGTCCCGATATACCTATCTCATCGGAAATATCTATGCTTCGCAATCAATGGCCGCCGCTATGAATTTTAAGTCCTACCATTCAGAATAGCGATAGCCCCTTGGCTATTCACAAGGATTACAGTGCCAGTCATCAGGTTTGCTTACATCCAGTTAGTTCGAATCCATGGTTACCAGGATGATTTCTTAGCGACACACCAAGGGAAAGCTCAGCTACATCAGAACATGATGTTCTTGGTTCAACTTATGACCTACCTAGGCTTCCTAGTCAATCTTTCCAAGTCCGAGACAACTCCGGTGCAAGATATCATATACATCGGAGCAAGATTTCAGCTAGACAGAGGATATCTATGCCCACCAGAGGATCGATTCATCAAGACTATCAAGATGATTCAATCACTCTCAAGTCAACCCAGCAAGACGCTGAGGTGGTGGATGTCTCTTCTTGGCAACTTAACGTCTCTGCAGGATATGACCTTCAGAGGAAGGATGATGCTACATCCTCTACAGACATGGATCAACTCTATACGATCTGACGGCCTAGAGTTCCAGACTCAGTTAACATCCAGATTACTATGAGACCATTGGCCGAATCACAGAGAGCATGAGATGAGCGGCATCCCTCTGACTTATCCGACGCCAGAACACCATCTATTCACAGACGCATCTGTTTAGAGAAGGGGAGCCCATATGGACGATTTCATGGTACAAAGATCTTGGAACTCAGAAGAGAAGGACCTTCATATCAACTGCAGGGAAATGAAGGCCATCTATTATGCCATCCTGGAATGGAAAATACATCTGTCCCTATCATCATTTCACGTAGCCACGGACAACACCTCAGTAGTGGCCTATATTCAGAAGCAGGGAGGAACCAGATCCAGCTCCCTGATGACGGAGACTACATGATTGTTTGCCTTGGCAGACTCTTTCAAATTGCAGGATAGAAGCGAGGCACATGCCCAGGAAACTTAACATACGACAGTCTCTCGCCAGGTGAGAATAGTGGCAACAGAATGGACCCTACATCCCCAACTTCCAGTTTATGTCAGTCTGGTTCCCGACCCAAGTGCTCACCAGATAGACGCACTATTGATGGATTGAACAAATCTATTTGCGTGGAGGAGATGGATTGCATAATAATACTGATAGCCCCAGTATGGCCCAGCAGGGCATGGTTCCCCAGACTATTAAAGCTACTAATGGAGGAACCCATACAGTTGCCACTTCAGCAGGATCTGCTTTGACAGCTCATGTCCAGCATGTTCCACGACAATCTACCCAGCCTACATCTAACCGCCTTGAAGTTATCGCACAGAAGTAGCAGACATCCGGATACTCTGAGCTTGCCTCGGATGCTGTGGCAAGATCGCGGCAACCTACATCCTCCCATTAATATGACAACAGATGGAACAGGTTTCTCAAGTGGAGAAGACGACTAGGGATTATTGATAATGCTGTATCAATCCCTATGATAGCAGACTTCCTTCTTCATCTACGTCAACCATCCCATCCTCAAGAGATTAATGAAATCCTTTCTACTAGAAGATATTAGGACCCCTCGTATCTTCCCCAAGTGGAATCTATCTGTGGTATTATCAGCACTGTAAACGGAACCTTACGAACCCATAGTGAGAAGGCTACCCTACGTCAAAAAGCCAGGAAAACATTGTTTCTGCTAGCCATGGCTACAGCAACAAGAGTTTCGGAGTTACATGCCTTAGACTATTCTAGTTTTACCCATGATCAACATTGGACTTCTATAACTTTAAGATCGCTCCCAGAATTCATAGCCAAGTACCAATCTACCACAATAGGACCGTTGGGTCATAGACTCTATACAATCCCGGCATTGGGACCAACTGTGGACCAACCAGACAGATTCTTATGTCCCATCAGAGCTCTCAAGTTCTATCTCTCGGCTACATAGACGCCATTAAGGAGACTCTTTTAATCCTGTAAGACCAACTAGAACACAGATATCACAAAGGCTACTTTAGCAGAATGGATGAAGGCCAAAGTTGCACAAAGCTATACACAGGCTCAGAATTCCATGCCACGTCTCGGATATTGCTCAGCTCACAAAATCAGAGCTCTAGCCATGAGTCTCATGCCATGGACAACAGTCTCAGTAGAACAAGTAGTTTCTAGCTGTCAGTGGACCTCACAAAACACCTTCACCAGCTTTTACTTACATGACATTCAGCAGGACCTAGAGGGCATGTATTCCCTTGGTCCGGTGGTCACGGTGCAAACAACTATTGTCTGACAATAGTTTCACCCCTTCTATCGAAAAAGGAGGGGGATGGGGGGGAATCCGACACCAGCAGCATCAGAGGGTAAGTACACCCTTGATTACTTGATTATTAGGTGTAGGATGGATCAGAAGCACCTTAAATGTCATGTATCATCATTAACAGGTAATGTTGAAGGAATCGTCGGAAGTGACGTCAGCACCAGAAATAGCTAAACAAAGTCCTAACAAGGAAATTACGTCTTTTGGGTAGAAATAGACCTAAAGAGACATCATTACCAAAAAGGAGAAGTGACATACTCAAAGTGACGTCATAAACGGAAGTGATATCAGAACCGGAAGTGACATAATCGTCGGTATTATAGGCCACTAATCCAGGTTTATTATGGTCAAATCAGCAAATATAACTGTAAATCTAGTGATAATATCACACATTTGACTGATTATTGACATAGTTTCTGGTTTTCAAGTCCTCAAGGGGAATTTCAGAGGAAATTTCAGATGGATTAGAATCAGTACATAATGGTTTCCAGAAGAGGATTTACTGGAGGCAGATCCCACCGGGTCCCTCTGGTATATTCTGGCAGATATGTTATAGATATAGAAGTTTTGTAACAATTATTGAACAATAGTTATCACTGTTAATAATTCTAAGAATACTACCTCTATTACATACGAATTACTCCCTCCCACCTTCCCAATTCATCTACTTCTAATATGGAGATGAGGGGGAAAAGTGAGGTTGCCACCATTGTGACTTCATGCCTTGGGTAGTTACAAGACTTCTTGGCAACAACTAGTTGTATGTAATTGGCAGTGAAGAGGATGTCTGTTGAAAATCTGAAAATTTTAGTTTGTGTGATTGAAGCAAAAATACAGGATTTATGGCAGATATGTAATAGAGGTAGTATTCTTAGAATTATTAACAATGATATCTATTGTTCGATAACTATGCAAATGACAGTTTGGATTATATATCTTGATGAAAATATGATTATGTTCATGTTGCTGCTCTTTCATTAGTGATAAAAACAACTTCAAGGTAAGTGACATCAGACATTTTCAATAGCCCAAACAATCCTCAAAGTGACATCACTCAGTATCAGACATGATTATTAGTTCTAAATATATCAACAAGATTATACTAACAGATTATCTCTCCAAAGTAAGTACACGTAGATTCAATAAAAATCTTTGACATGTTTTTATTGTCAGCAATTCTATTCAACAAACCTATCTTTCGATCACTAATAGCTTGGGTGCCATGTAATACAAGCATCGCTTCGTTGTGCAATCACACAGACCACTTAATTATACTTCCGTTTTTATGATGTGTTGTTAATGGTGTAAATTTACGACAAGTATGGGTTGCTGAAGACCTATTCTACCCCAGAATCTTCACGGGTCTATCACTTTTGTGAAACTATGAGTAGATGCACTTATTTCTGTCCATGGAAAAAGTTTTGAGTAGGTGTCTGTTGTTTATGACACAATGAGAGGGAAATAGAACCTTCCTGTCAACTTACTGTACCAGTTGTCGCCATCATCTCAACTGCATGTGATCACATGCACTGTTTCAGTTATACAAATTACAGTTTTTATTGTCTTTGGTATCACACTCAATTATTTTGTTCATTAATAAAAATAAAAAATGATTATAGCAATTTGCCACCTGCCAACTGGCGTAAACCAATATTCCACAAATTCTATCTACACATGCTTATCAATAACGCCATGTAGTATGGACTTCACGTTATAATCAGGTTAAGCATTTTTTTTAAACAAGCAAAAGTAAGACAAGATGCGATATCATGTGGGCAATAAGTGGTCCTCGGCAGTAACTGGTCACTAGCCAGTACAGTAGGCTATTTTTAATACAAGGAAAACTATAACTTTTTATGTAAATGTAGCGGCCATTAAATTTCCGAGTCCCCATCATTGGGGTTCGAACCATGGACCTTCTGATCCGAGGTCGGATGCCTTGTCCACATGACGAAAAAAGGTTAACCCTGTCAGTGAGCTGACAAGGTAAGGATGTCATCTGTGAGGTGACTCCACGCCCTGCTACACTGACAAGGTAAGGATGTCATCTGTGAGGTCACTCCACGCCCTGCTACACTGGCAAGGTAAGGATGTCATCTGTGGGATGACTCCATGCCCTGCTACAAAAGAAGGAAATATTTTTCTACAGTACAATTATTATTAGTATCTAGATTAAGTGAAAGTGAAAATTTACAAAAATATGAATTACTTTGAATAAAGTACATGTATTATTCAATGACTATACTGTTCATGTGCTCAAAACTCTGAATATATTTGTTTCACTATGACCACTAGAAAACATACATCCTCGTCTTACCTTGTATTTTGCACTTGGCCACCTTACTTAGACCTTTGCTGAAATATGCTTTATGTTGAGATCCGATTTTAAAATTGTATTTACTGTAATAGGCACCCTCTAAAGCCTGTAAAAGGCACCCAGTGACAGTAGACTTATAGAGATAGTTGACAAAAGGTCAGATGTTATACTGCGGTATTTTGCATTGTGTTCTCCTCTCCCTGTGCAGTATTCTTTTGTCTCTACGTTCTAGGGGGCTCCTGCTGGGGGTTACCAATTCTAATTATAAACAAAACACAAAGAATGATGTTGGATTTAAAGTTTATTTAACAGGAAAATAACAACAGGGGCAAAATCCATCTCTGATCTATAACTTACGTAATTTTCCCCCTTCCCTACCTACGTAAACCTATTAAACCTTATTACTTAAACTTGTACTCTTAACCACCCCTCTAACTTAACTCCCAAAAGTAAAACATCTATAAAACAAACCTATTCAATACCTACTCTACTTTTCCCCCACCCATACCTCTTAATCTAACATCTCAGCAAAAGCCCCATAATAAATAATAAATTATCCTGGTTCAGGACTCAGGATTCGACTGTACCTTACCAGATACTGGTGAGTGACGACTGACGATTCCCGACCCAGGGTAGGCTTATAAAGCAAACACGCGGACCATGTGACCACGGAAAACGGACACAACCAATGAACACGCTCCTTACATCACGGCTCTCCCAATCATGGCTTCCGCCTAGCCGAGCATGCAAGAAGCGTGTCATCGTCACGTCTTCCCAGCCACTACGCCCGCATGGGCATAAGCTTCTACACAAGGACTACAAAGATAGGTACTCATCAGCCGTTCAACTCCCCCTTAAACTAACCCACCCACTACGTTCTTAAATATATCTATTTACCCATAATAACGCCCAGTCAGCCACATTACGTACATGAAAGTTTATTTCAAGTAAAGTTTACCATTTCATCCCATTCTATACAAAAGGAAAAGTTTAATGTAAATAATGATCATAGATAAATGAAACTAAAGGATATTTGACATAAAAAGAAAAGCAGAAAATTAAATATGTTTTTAGTATTGAACTACGGAATAAAAACTAGCAACATTATTCCTGTTCCAAATGCAATTTAGCACGGTTAAATCTTCAGGTAACCTAGCTCTACATTGGAACAGGTTTTTTTCTCCTAAATGAAATAACTTCTGGGATTAACTGTTAGTCTACACGGCCAAGCACCACGTCGGGTTACTGTTACAGTGTTGTGGCACTAAATGTATTTTTGTTGTATTTTCGTTCATTCAAGAATTTGAAGGTAGAAAAGTGAATTTGTGGGAGATCCCATGAAAACCAAGATGCCAGGTGACATTTACTAATATAACAAGCCCATAGGTGTTACATGTGGGTATTGGCTGTGTACTGGGGGCATTAAATGTAGCAGTTCTAGCTAGCTGCCTACTAGCTTTGCCTGTGCTGCCTTTCCTTCTGATTCAGGTACAGATGTCTTGCAGTGGAAAACAGCGTATGACTGGGGTACCTTTTTGAAACAGTATGCAGACATTTCTCTAGCTTAATGTTTCAAGCTACAGGCATAGCAGTAGGAAACATGCTTTCGGCCACTGATTGCAAGTGATGAGACTACCTAGTTTGTATATGTATAAACCCTTGAACAGGTACAGGTTCTTCTCAATTAGTGTTTCTGTTATTGCAGTACAACAGTTCACCTGAATGTCATGGGCAGTACGTGTTTCAGCACTTTGTAATGAAGGCACATGCATCTTGTATAGCATTTGTTGCTCACAGCTACGGAGGAATTGTCACGATGGAGCTGGTAGGTACAGGACTCTACAGTGTTGTCTTCTCTCCATTTCTTTCACATCACACGGACAACATCATATATAATGGAGGAACCACGACAAACTGTAGATTTGTGAGTACCATATGTTATATTTTTACGAATCTGCAGTTTGGAGTGGTTTGTTTCTCTTGTGTAAACTAATTCCAAGTAAAAGCTTCTTTTAATAACTGCCACCTCTGTAGACTAGTGGTAGAGCATCCTCCCGGAGAGCTGAAAGTCGGGGATTGAATCCCTTGTCGTGTCATACGCAAGATGTTAAAAGATTGTACTTGTTGTTATCGTGCCTGGCATTCAGCATTAAGGGGTTTAAACAAGGACTGGTTGGCTTTGAGTCAGTACATATGAGAATGAGTGAGTGAATGTGCATTTACTTACCATGTATGTGTTTGTTTATAACTATCTATGTTGTTTATGTATAATGAGTAGTATAGGTAATGATGGTTCTGGACCACTTCCACTGGAGCCGGATTCATATACCTATACTGCTACTACAGGTGGCATTTTTTATGCCAAAATGATTATGTGATTTAACGATAGTCATGAGATTAAGTTAAATTGGCCCTAGCTCACCAATACCTGGGGCCAATCATTGCTTTAGATGAGTCTAAATGGTAATAAAATATTCTTTATTATTTTTATCGATAAAGCGATATTCAACATTTTTATTAAGTTCTTCGTTCATTTTACTAGGAGACCAGACTATATAACTACACTCTTTTTGTAAATTGATAAGAAACAATTGATAACCGTATTTGGTTGGTTTGACATCACTGATATAATAAAAACCTTGTGGTAATTCTTTCCATTGTATAGCTTTCTCCATTATTATATATTTATGTTAGCATTTGTCTAAATGTAATCACACGATAGTAAACAATCTACTTTTAATCTCCAACCAGTTCTTTGGTTTTGGCACGGAATAATTGACGCGCTTGTTGCCTCCCCTGTTCTATGAACTTTTTTTTCTCGTCTTCGCTAATACCACTGGTCTTACGAGATTTTGATCGAATCTCCTGCTTCATTTCATTGTATTTGGTGAGCTCCGACAGCACTAAACGAAACTCATCCTCGGATATCTTACAATCGGCCATTGCTGTCGAAATATGATCCTCAATGCTGTTCAACTTTGCTTCGGCCAGTATCCGAATACTATCGTGTTTTAATGCTTTCTTTTGTAACCTACGAGAAATGAATTTTATCGCTATTCCTGCCAGTCCCGAGACTCCAGCGGTTATTTCCATGCCGAGCACGATAGGCGCGGCGATTATAGTTGATAGTAAACCGATACCCGCTACACCGAGTCCCATGCCAGATACTAAAAGCACGGTGTCAACTCCGTCCAGAGCATTCACAGCTCTGCGATACTTTTTATACAATCCAAGTCTCAACTCCCTATCCTTCCCTATTCGATGTTTTATGTCGCTTATTTGGTGTAATCGAAATCCATCAACAGTTTCCATCTTTTCAAATGCTTCACCGAGCGTCGGATATAAACTCATAGTGTATATTACGTTCATATAATAGTCTTTAATTGGTCTTGCTTAAATGTTTTGAGACTATACATAAAACCTTATCAAATGTATATTATACGGCAAGAATATCTTAGAAAGAGAAATACTGTCACTTTTAATAATTTGGACCCCCTCGAGGGTTGCAACGGGCGATGCTCCGATATGAATAATACTGCAACGTTGAGGCTCGTGTTTCTTGAGCCATTTAATCGATAGACCTGGTAATATATCGAAGGTATCTTCCGGTGCATCTCCGAACAAGACTTCAATAATAAGCGTAGAAAGATTAGGTATTGCACTCAAGTTAACTTTAATATCTTTGAATTCAGTAACCAAATTTAAAGTAACATTTTTTAAGGCCGGACGACTATATAACATATGACCTGGGTTTTCTGGCAGGGGGGTAACTAACACACTTTTTCGTTTTGACGGGATATAAGCCGCGAGTACGATGCCACTATTTATTATCTTAGTTAAATTATGTCCCTTACCCATCATCACATAAGGTGGGGTAATGACGATATTCAGTAGCCACTCGATGTTTGCTTCGATCATAGTCCATTTATTATCGTCGTTGCGAGTAATATTGTACGAAGTGTTTTTAAGGAGTCTACTAACATCAACATCGCTTAAATCTCCTAGATTACCCGTGAATGTGACTTCTTTCCGATTGTATACATTATCGTGTAAGTGTAAAGCGTATAACTTACCATCGGTACCGGGTTTACCAAATCCTTCTGTGTCTCCGAGATCGGAAAGCGCAATTGTATTACATTGTCTTACTGTTCCAGGGCCTGATGCATCAACCATTATTTTTAATATGGAGTGTTACACTTAAGTATCCTATATGTACAGGTTGGTGTTTTACATCTAATACAGAAATTTTGAGGTCTGAAATAATACCCCGCTTTAATATTTTATATTGTAATGTTGAGAAAGATTCCGTTCTACTGCTATTATATTTTTCATTTTTCACTGGAACACCTCTTAGCAGAGTTGAAGGACTTTCTTGTTGAATATTATCTGTCGTACTGATTTGATCAAGATGGATGCACAACTCTTTATAGGGAACTAAATCGGGTAAATAGAGTCCCTGATCTGATGTCTTGATAACTGTTATTTCTCCTCCCCATCCAAGTGTGTATGCTAAGTTCACGTAAAGCTTTACATCCTTTGTTCCAGTGTTTAAAATCAGTAACCCATTTGACTCATTTTGTGTTAGACTAATTCCATTAGGCTTAAAAAATTCATCATTGAGTGAGCATACGCTGTAATACCCATCAGGTATAATGTATTTTTTACCATTTATTTCTGTCTCATTATTATAACCCCTCGTAGCACTTATATTGGTCCACAGTGGGTAATACGTTACATCGCATGGAGCGACTTCGAGTTGTCCATCCGAGTTATCGATAGTACGAAGCAGTTGAATAGACTGACCATTTGTTATTCCCAGGAGTGTAACATACATATCAAATATACAATGATACTATATCATAACTTAAATATGGAATCAACCATTATTTTTAATATGGAGTGTTACACTTAAGTATCCTATATGTACAGGTTGGTGTTTTACATCTAATACAGAAATTTTGAGGTCTGAAATAATACCACGCTTCAATTTTTTATATTGTAATAACGAGAAAGATTCCGTTCTACCGCTATTATATTTTTCATCTTTCACTGGAACACTTCTGAGAAGAGTTGAAGGACTTTCTTGTTGAATATTATCAGTTGTGCTTATTTGATCAAGATGAATGAACAACTCTTTATAGGGAACTAAATCGGGTAATTCACCATTTGAAAACATTATTACGCCGGGTGATAATGTTGTTTCTCTTCCCAATCCAAGTGTGTATGCTAAGTTCTCACCAATAATTATTTTTGTGTATCCATTGATGATTTTCACTGTCCCATTCGCCTCATTTTGTGTGATACTAATTTTACCAGTATTAAAAAATTCAATATCAGACTTAAAATATTCATCATTGAGTGAGCTTATGCTGTAATACCCATCAGGTATAGTAATAATTCTATTAATTCTATTTTGGTCATCTATTATAAATATCTCATTATTTTTTCTCGCAGCACTTATATTGGTCCACCGTTGGTAATACATTACATTGCATAGAGCTACTTCGAGTTGTCCATCCGAGTTATCGATAGTATGAAGCAGTTCAATAGACTGACCATTTGTTATTCCAGGTAGTGTAACATACATATTAAATATACAATGATACTATATCATAACTTAAATATGAAATCGAGATACATTACTAATCAATCGATTATAGTAACTGCCTCTGGTGCTGAATTTTTCGTTAAATTCCCAGATATCTTTGAAAAGTACAGGGTCACGGCAACTAGCGATAAAATGGTGCATGATTGGTTTCACAATCCGATGCAATTTTGGCAGAATCAGTTAAACTTTGCCGTATGGTGTGCCACAACGGGATGTGGCGTATCTGTTAATGCCCCAGGATTTAAACTATATAAGTCTGTTATATTATTTCACGTGTATTATCAGATTAGACGTATACTTAAAGAAATTAGTGCTCCATTACCGCAGGATCGAGCGTGGAATTCCACAAATAATAATTATGATAAGAGGGCCTTCGAACGTATTTGTAATGAATTTAATGTTTCTACGAGTAAAGATTGGCGCATTAAAGGACCTAGCCATGGTCTAGGTATTCCATACAGTGGACAAAAAACTGTTTAAGAAGAAAGTGATATTTTAGCTAAAGAAATGGTAAAAAAAACGGTAGATACACTTAGGTGGTCGCATAGAAGCAAACTTTATGTAAGATAACATAATATTTTCTTAAAAACTCATAATTGGGATAACAACTGGCAACTTTTTAATAATGATTGGAGGGAAGATATTATGAGTTTTAAGAGTGGCTTGCCTTATATTGTAACAAAGTTTGTGCATCCAAACGATACAACAGACGCTTGGAATGAATTTCTTAATGATAAAACGGAAAATAATTTTACTAACCCAGGATTTGTAAGATTTAATGAATCGATAAGAACTTATGTATGGGCAATTCTCGGTGCACAATCGCAAACACGAACGTCCATTATCGGTTCTTGGACGGCGCTCGATGCGCAAAAACAGTTTGTCGCAAACGTGGAGGACGCCATTAATTCACCAGTTGACATACCATCGTCTATAAAGCGTTTTCAAGATGCATTACAGTACGCTCAATCCAAAGTGGACTTCGTTTATGCGCCGGGACTATACATGTCTCCGAGTAATATGGAACTTAAGATCGGTCAAGTGATAGGCTATAATAATAAAATTGTTATTGCTACCGATCAACAAAAACCAGGTATAAATTCAGATATTAACGTCGAATTAATAACGCAAACGATCACGGGCGAAAAGGGAATAGTCAAGCCGCAAACACCACATGTTTCACAACCATCTACTAATGCTCAAGTACCACCGCATAT